GCATTGGACAGTCTTCTTCAATGAACTGTTTTGGGTGGAGAAGTCTGTGAACCAGCTGTGAAGCTGTCCCACATGAAAAATATCCTTTCAGGTGTGTGTTGAGGCACCTCTGTGCACTGTGGCTCCTACTTTGTGACAATAAAATGAGTCAAAGCCATATATTAAAGATATGTTTATCTATATTTTTGATAGATGGCTTTGATTTATTATGACTGGAATTGTAGAACTAGAACAAAATGTTGCAGATCACTACAATTATACATCACCAAACATGCACGTCGATGACCAGCAGATCCTATGAAACTGGAATGTACACTGACTCTCAGCATCCCTGGAGCCCACCAACTGCTGACAGAGTCATTGAACGATACAATAACATCTGAGTGCTGTACACAGAGGCTGTAGTACTCGGCGCCTGTTTTCTGTCTTGTCACTTATATTCGAGCAGCAGACCACTCTACACTTTGGATGACAAGTGCAGTGAACTGTCAGGCTGGACAAAAAACTGCCTGGATCACTGCTCAGCATCATGCCGATCGCTGCCTCTCAGCCGCTACACGGCCGGGGACCAACCAGCCGGATCAGGTCCCACTAGGCATTCACAGCCATCCACCAGTAACACAAAGAAAGAACCATGCCTAAAGTCTTGTCTCAGCCTCTGAACTGAAACAAATCAGGTCTATGGACCTTTCTGGGTTAAGTATTGTCAAATTACGGGTATGGACGTTTAAAAGATAGTTCAATGCCTGGTGGTCGGGTGCGATAAAACAGTGTTTTGACAGGGGGGCAAACACTTGTTCACACAGGGCTCTATAGTTTTGGATTTTGTTTTCCCTTAATAATAAAAACCTTCATTTAAAAACTGCATGATGTGTTTACTTGTGTTATCTTTGACTAATATATAAATTTGTTTGACGATCTGAAACATTACAGTGTGACAAACATGCAAAAAGATAAGAAATCAGTAAGGGGGCAAACACTTTTTTCACACCACTGTATTCCAAAAACACCAGATCCTGTGTTCCCCATGATGCAACTGGATAGTGTCTGTTTAATCAGAACCTCCCTAACTGATAAATGCCCATGTCTTTCAAACTCTGAACTCCAACTTTGGCGACACAGGCTTTTCCTTATGTCTTGAATCCCAAGATGAAAAACCTGGATGATGTCATCAGACACTTTGGGGTAAACTGGGTCATCATCTCCAACATTTAAAATTTCCTTTCAGAGACACAGAAGGTAGTAGCTTAAATATTATACAGTGGTTTTTACACGTTGTATTCCTCAAGACAAAATAACTGAATATGATCAGACTTGGGCTGCTCTGACCCACTGTACAACAAAGGTCACTTTAAGCCTGGTCAAACCTGTATTTATTAAAAGTTAATTCTTTTTTTTAAAGCAATGGCTTACCCATTGTACTGTATAGTTACAAATATAATAATGATAAATAACTAAAAAGCTATTTTAACTGTAAAAAGTTTTGTGAAGAGTGCTGTTTAGATTTGGAACAGTATAATTGCTGGTTTCAGTACAGAATACGGTGTCATTTATTTTGCTGCATCTCGAGCTTATGCTGAGTTGGACATGTACCCTGCAAATGTGCAGCTTCACAAAACTCATCTGAACATTCTTGAATTTCCTCCTACAGACATAATGTCCTTAAAAAGACAGGAAAATGTAGAGAATCTACTGAAAGTGATAACTTTTAGCACTTCATTTCTTCAGTAAGCTGGAAGCAGGATCAAGATTAGAATATGAATTTAGGTTCAAGTTAAAGAATGATTCAGGGAGATGTTTCAAGTATAGTAACACAATATGTGTCTTTTATCCACATATGCTTCCTAACTTTATACCTAAGCTTCCATGCATGTGTGTGTGTGTGGTTGACAGAGCCCTTTCATCATTATCTGTACATTCATGTCTTGTATTGGTTGTTACTTCCTGATCCATGCAAGTCACTTGAGTTGCAATAAGTGTTCACTGCATAGGAGTGTTTTGAGTAGCACTTAGCTTGCAGGATCAGGACTGGGGATTCAGATACCTATTCGTATATGCTGGACAGCTTGCCAGTCTATTACAAGGCTAGAATGGGACATTGAGGCATTTAAATGGCTCACCTTACAAATAAGGATGGAAAACTATATATAATAAATAACTTCAGAGCACTGCTTTAAAAGTGCTTTTTATACAGGGCAATAACCACGGTTTGGAAGTGGGTCAAATGAAAGGGTGAACTGTTTTAAGCAAAATGGTTTGAACAGTTTTTTTTGGACTGAAGCCCTTTGAGTGGATGATTGACAAATGAGCTATATTTAACTTTCCTCAGCAACATTGTCCTTTGCATTATCTGGCTTCTATGATGTGACTGAGTTGACCTTTTTCCTGTATTTGCATCATTTTTGTATAACTATGATTCGGCCTATATCTGTGCTAACATAAAAATGTTTACACATACATGCAGATGATAACTTAATGTTGTACTACAAAGTAGCAATGCTAAAATTATGTTGGAAACACTGGTATGGCTATAGGATACTGTATCATATCATTCATTACTGCATCACATATTAACACATAGACTGTATATAAAGATGGACAATGTGACAACTCCAAGAAGTGAAGCCACTGCGAGCCAATCGCCCCCTGGTGGCTGGTAGCAATATAGGTCATAAACCCTGCCCCCTCCATGTTAGCAGATGGGATGTGAGCCAAACTAAAAGCTCACATTACAAATCAAATAAGATTTTTTTGTAGATGCTGTGTGCACAAGTGGTCACTTTTCTGATAAGTTTGTTTTTAAGTTATTTGATGTCAAGATGAGCATATTTCAGATGATAATGATAATCACTTTTATTGGCCAAGTACACACAATGAATTTGTCTCTGGTACAGAAACGAGGCAGCGTCAACTCTTACACACATGTAGCGATGGTGGCACTGTCTCTGGCCCCTGGGAGCAACTTGGGGTTCAGTATGTTGCTCAAGGACACTTTGACATGTGGTCTGGGAGAATAGGAATCTAACCGCTAACCTTCCGGTTGGGGGATGACTGCTCTACCTCCTGAGCCACAGCTTTGATTGGCAGTCTGATACTGTCAGTCTGCTCCTCATTGTTACTGCACAGAATCTGATTGCAACAAAGCCGCCTCATTCATGACGTTGGTTTGATTTTTACTTAGTGCAGGGAAGTGGTGGTTTGTTTTCCATTTTTATATACAGCCTATGTAATAACATAACATATTTGGTGCTTGCCATTAATACAAACTTATATTCAGTTTTTTGCCTTGATAGATATAACATAATGCGTGTGATTGATTAGTGACTCGTGTCATACTTGCCACTCTGCTCTCATACAATATACTGATTAATTTTGAAATTATTTCCAGTTGCATCCAATTTGCTGTTTATTTAATCATGGTTTGATATTGTCAATGAAAGTTCCTGCACACATTATTCACAATATAAACCTTTCAGCAGCTCAAAGCTTTTAATTCTTAACATCTGCAGGAAGTGCTGAGTTTAACTGATGGTACTTAACAGTGTTTGGAAAACAGTGAAGTGGTATTTGTGCATTATGCTGAATTTATCATGGAGACTTGTACAGATAAGTCCACCCCTTGAAAATGTACACAGTTTTATATTAATTTCATTACATTTCTTACACTTAGTAGATAACACCAGTCTTACTGAGGATCTTGCTTTTTCACAGTTTTAATACCAACCTTAAAATAAATGTCCTGTCTTTTCATGTTAAAATCATAAAACACTTTAAAGTTTCCTTTTCTCTTTCCTTGTGTAGTCTAGCACAGAGATTTCCATTTCTAAAATATTATATTGTGACTATTTTGGCTTGACACTCATGGCTTTTGCTGTCTTGTGTACTCAACTATCTCTTTGTTTGAAGGCAAGGTGTAACTTTTGAAATCGGTTGTTCATGTTTTTGCCTCAGGATGATTAGTATTTGTTTATCTTTCTTTTGTAGCAATATACTGTGTAAAATACTTCTTTATGGCTATTTAAATTTGTATAATGTACAAGATACAGAAGATTGTTCAAGATATTGGCTGTTGCTTTTACAGTTTACAGTACTGTGGGTGATGGACAGAAGTAAAGTGAGAAATATGTGGAGTAGTGACAGAGCAGGATGCAGTCTATTCACTGCTTGGCTCCCTTCTATTCTACTGAATCCTGCTCACAGAGGACTCGCCTGCTTTCTCCTCTGCTGTGAGTTTAGTAAAGGCAAAACTCCAGCACCTGCTCAATTGTTGTAACTGCACCTCAAGTCATATTTTATTCTGCTGCTGTGTTGGGTTTAAGTGCAAGTTGAGATGCACTCAAATTGACACAAACCTGATGGATTTCTAATTGTTTTTTAATCACAAAGAAAGTGGAGAGATCCATTATCTGCCTTCAAGCTCAGCAAATTCTCCCTGGAATCAAATAATACCCTTACCTATCATGCTGAAACAAAACAGCATTAGTAGCATGAGGCAAGAAATCATCTTAAAAATGTAAACACTCAGCCAGCAACATTTGTGGCTCTATTTCAACATAGATGAACAATACTACAGAGCTCAATGCACATTCTTTAGTGCTTAGC